GATTTAGTGCCTTCATGGTTGACATTCCTGTATTTTACTGGTTGCTAAATGCCACACGCTGCTTTTGCTGATATGTTTGAACCCAGGTAGTGGATCATAGTGGTTCTGCAGATGATGGAGCTGGCCTGATTTTTGCTCATCTAGACAAAATTATCAAGCAGGTACAGAAAGTGATCCATTATTTTAGCGTTTTTATCACCTCATAGTGATTAATGGACACTTTTCATGACCTTCACACCTTTTTCAACTTCCATGTTCTCCTTCTCCTTCCAGGAGTTACTGGGTCTTGAAGGAGCAGATGTTGATTCTAAGGACTCTGGGATAGAGGAGGGGCGTGAGGAGGACTCTGGAGATGTGTTATGGGACCTGCATGATGAACAGGAACAGATTGAGTCCTATCAGCAGGCTTGCAGCAGCACAGCCTCTCAGTTAGGCTTCCAGAAGGTAGGGTGGATCTTCTTCTCTTATCACATCCTTAATTTTGTTTGTTGATTAATTTCATTTTTCTTAGTATATAGATCGTTTGAACGACATGATAGCCGCTCCGCCTCCCACCCCTCCTCTGCTGGTGTCTGGTGGGCCAGGTTCAGGAAAGTCTCTTCTGCTCTCCAAATGGTGAGAACTAATTATTTTAGTTTAGTGTAATAAATCCTCTTACTGATGGTGTATTGCTGTTTCAGACTATTGGATGTCTTTTCAATTTTGCACTGTGTCATTATGAAGCAGGACACTGAGTAAAAGTTTTTTTTCTGTTTGCTAATGGTTCTTTAATTTTCTTTAGGATTGAGCTACAGCAGAAGCAATCCCCCAACACCTTGTTCCTTTACCATTTTGTTGGTTGCCCGCTTTCCGCAAGTTCAGAGCCAGTTCTCATTATCAAACGCCTCACAGTCAAAGTAAGGTTTCTATTATTTCCAGTAAATGTCAGACATGGATGTCACAGTGTCTTATCTAATAGCAGAAAGTGTTGTCTGTCTGTTGTCATCACATAGCTGTTGCAGCACTTCTGGTCCATTTCTGGCTTGTCCATGGAACCCAGTAAGATATTGGAGGAGTTTCCCCGCTGGCTTGAAAGGCTTTCATCACGCCATCAAGGAAACATTATCATCATCATTGACTCTATTGACCAAATACAGGCACAAGCCCACTACTTTAACCCAGATTACATAGTGAGATCCACTTTCCCCAAAATAACTCTTCTAACTCTAACGTTCATCTTCTTTTTTTACTAGCAAGCAGAGCGACACATGAAGTGGCTGATTGACCCTCTACCTGTCAATGTTAGAGTGGTGGTGTCTGTCAGTGTCGAGACGTGTCCGCAAGCCTGGAGGTAGGACCCATTACTTAAATTCTAAACATCCTAGTTTATTTATATCTTTGGTTCTTATTTATTTAGTTCCCATTCAGTAATATGCACCTTTAAATTAGATTTTGTAGTGTTGCATTTTGTAATATAGAATTCCTGTCTTTTCAGGTTGTGGCCCACACTCCACTTGGACCCGTTGAGTCCCAGAGAGGTCAGGAGTGTTGTTAGTGCAGAATTCCAGAGCATGGATCTCAAACTTACTAAGGACCAGGTCAGTTATCATCCCACATCCCCTTTCTTTAAAAAATCTCTAAAGAGATTTAGGTCTTTATGGAAGTCTTAAATTGGTGGTAAGACTGATTTGGAATCAGCAGCAGGTATGTTTTTTGTGAGAATGCAACACTTGAATGTATCTTTGTTTCAGGAGAAGAAGCTGGAAAGGCACTGTCGTTCTGCATCAACCTGCAATCCATTGTATGTCACACTACTAGCAAGGATGATCACCAGGTTAGCCAGCGCAAGGATGATCACCAGGTTAGCCAGCACAGGTTTTCTTAATTCTAACTTAGTTGATCATCACAGACAAATGATCTTTTCTTCACTTCAAGCACAGTTAGTCTCAGACTCAGCTTTAAAATGAAAATCATTCTAGTGCAAACCTGTTTGACCCTTTGACATTTGATTAAAGGTCTGTTGTTTAAGTGATAACTAAAGATTTTTTGTCAATTTTCACTTTTCAATCCAATGTATATACTGTAATGCTAAGGGCTTCTGCAGCTTCAGGGCAGTGAAAATTGTCTACACCTCTTCATTACATGTCTGTAGATGTTTTCATTTCTTGATGATTGCTTTGTTGCTGCCTTGCAGTAGAACTTGCTGGTCACAGGAGAAGAGCATGGAGCAGTGTCTGCAGTGTCAGGACACCATGTCCCTCTACCGCTTGGCACTGAAGATAATACTGAACTCCCTCAACACAGACAAAGAGCAGCGCATTATGAGAGAGGTGGCATATGTCTGTACAAAATAACAACAACTTCTCTCCACATAAACACAGTTTTGTTATCATTGGTTTTCATGGCAAGTATGTGCTGCAAACCAACTTTGAGTGTTTTTTCTTGCAGTATTATAATGTATTTCTTTTGTTTCTTTTCAGAAATACAGTTAGAAATATCTGATCAGACATTTTTGCAGCACGTCTTTCTGGTTTCATTCGAGACTCAGCATGACCTCTGCGTTATCCTTCTGTACTTGTCTTTTTTGTCTCTTTAGATACTGTGCCTTGTATGTGCCAGCCATAATGGAGTGAGTGAATCAGAAGTTTTAGACTTATTCCCAGAGCTAGAGTTACCTGTACTGTCCTCCATGCTGTACTGCCTGAACAGGCTCTGCATTGTAACTCTTCGATGTGGGCTTATCAGGTTTCAGCACCTGCAGGTAATTGGGCTTTGGTCGGTAGAACATTATAGAGTGAGAAGTCGTTAAAAACAAGATGTATTAAAGAACTGTGATATTCACAGGACACCAATTTTTTCTCTGTGACCATCTTTCAGGCTTGCGAAGCTGTGAGGTTGCAGTTTCTGGGTGGAGGAAGTAGCTTTACTGCTTACAGAGAGAAACTCATCTATTACTTCAGCCAGCAACTCAGGTATTTCATAGTAGCTTTCCTCTCCTCATGTAACAAACCCCACATTCTTGAGTCAGTGCAGTTTAATTCATTATGTGTGTGTTTGTATAGCCAGGACCGTGTAACGTGGCGTGTCGCAGATGAGCTTCCCTGGCTGCTGCAACAGCAGGAGGACAAGATTAAACTGCAACGCAGCCTATTGAACTTGTTTGTCTCCCAAAACCTCTACAAGAGGTACAAAACGTATTCACATAAGCAGGTATTATGTCTTCCACATTTGTTGAGGTTTTATCTTACAGATGTGCGTTGTTTTCTTTTTCTAGGGGTCATTTTTCAGAGCTGCTGATATATTGGCAGTACGTGGGCAAAGACAAAAGCTCCATGGCCACTGAGTACTTTGACTCTTTGAAACACTATGAAAAGAGCTGTGAAAGTGAAGACAGCATGACCAAGTTGGCAGATCTGTATGAGACCTTGGGACGTTTCCTCAAAGACCTTGGCCTTCCAAGTCAGGTAAAGTATATGGTTGCAGTGTTTTAAAGAACAGGTTTTGATTAATTAAATGAATCCATGTTTCATGTTGACCACACATTTTTTTGACATTGTTTTGTATTGCATTTTGCTTCTTGTTTTCATTTGCACATACTGTATATTGACAGCTGCATATGTATCTGGTTCGGTTTGTTTAGGCTGTAGCCCCTTTACAACGGTCCCTTGAGATCAGGGAGACAGCTCTGGACCCAGACCATCCCAGTGTAGCTCGCTCCCTGCACCAGCTGGCTGGAGTTTACGTCCAGTGGAAGAAGTATGGCAATGCTGAGCAGCTGTACAAGCAGGCCCTGGAGATAAGTGAGAACGCCTATGGTGCTGAGCACGCCAGTGTGGCACGAGAGCTGGAGTCACTCGCAATGCTCTATCAGAAACAAAATAAGTAAATAGGACTCTCTTGGTGTAGACATGCATGATGTTATTTACAGTTGTTTTTCATGTACTAGAGTTTAGTGATTGTTCCAGCAATCGGTGTATTTACAAAGAGGCATCCCTCCTGTGCTGATTAAGAACTTATTAAAAATTAAACAACTTAAAATACATGTTAAACGTTTGGCACCTGGTGCTTTTACAACCAGGTATGAGCAAGCAGAGAAACTCAGGAAGAGGTCAGTGAAGATCCGTCAGAAGACTGCTCGCCAGAAAGGTCATATGGTGAGAACATTTCAGATACCCACATCCTTAGTCACACTCATTTAATCAGTCTTATTGTACGTGCCTTTTGTCCACTCCTCCTTTCAGTATGGCTTCACATTGTTGAGGCGCAGAGCCCTGCAGCTGGAAGAGCTGACCCTGGGGAAAGACTCAGCTGACTGTGCTAAGACACTTAATGAATTAGGTGTCCTATACTACCTCCAAAACAACCTGGAGTAAGGCACACGTTACAGCGGTCATGCACAGACAAAGACATTTAACACATTATAGACATTAAATGTTCAGTTTCACGCCATTTCAAATTGCACTTTACACTTGTTTGTAAACGTTTTGTTTGTTTCATATAATGCAGTTTCTAACTTAATAGTTCTTTCTTTGCTCTCACCAGTGCAGCAAAGGTGTTTTTGACCCGCTCTTTGGAGATGCGTCAGCGTGTGCTCGGTCCGGATCATCCAGACTGTGCTCAGTCCCTCAACAACTTGGCTGCACTGCACACAGAGAGGAGGGAATATGAGACAGCTGAGGACATGTATGAGAGGGCGCTGGACATCCGTAAGAAGGCCTTGTCCCCAGACCACCCCTCACTGGCGTACACGCTCAAACACCTGGCGATGCTCTATAAACGCAGAGTGAGACACAAATGGCTGTTGACACCGAAACTTTAAAACAGTTACCTTTGTGTTGGGTAATGGCTGAGAGTCTGATTTAAACGTGTGTTTTGTACAGGGGAAGCTGGACAAGGCCATGCCACTGTATGAGCTGTCTCTGGAAATCAGGGAAAAAAGTTTTGGGCCCAAACACCCAAGTGTAGCCACAGCACTGGTCAACCTGGCTGTAATATACTGCCAACTGGTGAGATCCTTCCTAATGTTTTTTCTATCTAAATTTCATACTCCAGATTAGCATTTTTCAGTGGTAGGTTTTGCACATCTTAAGTTATTATTTTAATGGATGTTATGAGCATGCATAGCTGTATTTTAGTTTGTATAGAGCAAAGCTAACTGAATTTCTTTGGCAGAAGAAACACAGTGACGCCTTGCCTCTTTATGAACGAGCACTAAAAGTGTATGAGGATAGTTTGGGGCGCTCACATCCACGTGTAGGGGAAACCCTTAAAAACCTGGCTGTGCTAAGGTAAAGTAGCTAAGGTTACATTTGAAATGTGTCTGATCAGAAGACAGTTATTTTCAGTGAATAACTTTATTTCTTTTTGCTTTGTTTTTCTGATCTGTAAATAGCTATGAAGAGGGTGACTTTGAGAAGGCAGCAGAGCTTTACAAACGTGCAATGGAGATCAAAGAGGCAGAGCCATCATTAGTGTGTGGAAATGCCCCATCCCGCCATTCCTCTAGTGGGGACACAGTTAGTCTGAGGGGACCTGCCCCCCTCCCACATGCCCCAAGGTAACAGTATTCCTCCACTGAACAGTTAAGACTGTCTTGACAGCTCAAATTACCACAGATCATTATCAAACCCTGTAGTTTCATGAGAAAGCAAACCATTCATTACACTGTGATTGTCTGGATAACGGTTTTAGGGTTTCGTCAGATATACTCTAACTGGCAGAAGGATTATGAAGTCTGCCATGTGAGTTTGTGAAATCTATTTGTCAAAAGTATTTATTTATATTTCTAATGTAATTATGTGTGTAAGAAACTTTAAACCTCTGTTAAACCAGTCCTTTTAAGGGCCTAGAACTCAGGTTTACACTCATTGTAACTCAGACTCAAATACTTAATTGCTCGTGGTGTCAGCATAGCAGCATAGAGCTAACTTGTAATCACAGTCAGGTTTGGTTCTTACCAGTGTGCAGTGGATAATATTCTATGCACACTTTTAAGTTTATTCTTTAAATTAGGTATTCATTAACAACTATACAGTATAGAGTAAGAAAGGAGATGAAAGATGATCTGTCAAACATCGCCCCCTTGTGTTACACTGGTATCTCTTAACTTTTACCAAAACTGATTTGAGACTAGTAATTAACAAGACCATAAGACTTAAAGCACTTCTGTTTTCAAGTGTACATTCTGGACATTATAAATGAATACCATCTGAGAGCTGCTGCCTCTGAAGTCATGTGTGCAGTCTGGGAAACAATGGTACATTTAGAGTATATGCTGTGATGCTTTTAAGTAAAAATGTAGACCCCAGTAAAACTCCAAAAATGCCTAGACCAAAATCTGTGGAAACACCATCTCTAGTGCTGATTTTATTGTTTTTTTTTTTACATGTGGATTTATTACTTTACAAAAGGATTTTTAGGGAATTGCTGAAAATCGGCTAGTGCCACGTGAGTCTCCAGCTTAAAGTAGAATAAAATAACCATTTATTATTTGACTGAATTTACCAAAACCTATTATCTCATTGCCAAATGTAGTATTTAACAATGTATCAGTGTATTTAATGGATTCATGTATTAATATAATGTAATTATATTCTGTAAAAGCTGTACAGGACAACAAAAATCACAGCCAGTGTATCAAAAACATTGTATTTGGACTAATAAACACTTTATTGAGACTTTGTTCATAAGTACTGTTGCAGCAAATGTCTTTTTTTAAAGCCTAGTGAATGACAGAGAACATACATTAAAGGTAGGGACATTTCCACTAATCCAAACTGTAGAAAATACATGTAGTGATACATGTTAAGGCAAACAGTAACAATGACATAATTTTCGGTTTACATGCGTTTCATTAGCAACTGCTCTGTGCTGCACAGCTTAACAGTACATAGTACAGCAAATAACACATTCAAGTGTTTCTGTATTTTTCTTTATTTGCCAAAGAAATGCTATCAGGAGCACTTTACAGGCATTTTCTTTATTTTTTTCTTAGCTGTTAGAAGACATTAATTATGGGTTTGCTGTTAACTGGCTTCGACGTCTATGTCCCCAAGCAGCCACCATTAACTTGTTTATTATCAAAGAGCAGTGGCCTTCAGTCTTGTGAAAAGGAAGGTTTAGCAGAAAAGCATCTTCACATTGTTGTCTACAACTTTCTCATCTGAGCCATCAAGTCATCTAGACTCTGTTCAGTCTCCTCCACTGTCTCCCCACTTGCTGCATCCTGGTTCAAACAAAAGAAAACATACTGTTAGATTTAATTGAAATGGCCTCTTAGTCAACAGAAACAGTCAACAAAAGTGTGTATACTTCAATTACTGCTTTCCACAGCATTATGATTTCTCACCAGCCAGGCAGTAGTTTTATTTTATAACAGTACTGTCTGAAATGAAACTGGAGACTAGTAACTTGTCTGTCATGGTGAATATTTATTTGAATTTACCAACAAACAAGCCAGAAATAATCTTAAGTATACATAATTTAAGTTCATGAGTTCAAACATGAAAAATGACAAGGAAGTTGTCTTAAAACTGCATTATTTTAAACAAAACTGACCTCAGCTGGAATAGTGTAAGCCACAGTGATGCCTTCTGGAAGGTCAGGCACCGTGCCAGTTGCAGCCTTTAACTCTGCATCAGTCACCTCTGATACAAGTTCAATACCTGCACAGCACAACTATTGTTAAAGCCAGTTTTATACAGCGTTGTACACTGAAAAACTTGGTGAACCATAATACAGATCTCACACTTGTAAATAGATTTTTGCTCACCCCATTGATTGTCCTCGTGTACTACATCCTCCTCTACCTGTACAACTTCCACCTTTGGTTGCTCTGCTGCTTTTTTCTAAAGGGATAAAGTAGACAACATTAGCTTTCCCAGCTGATACAGCATGATATAAAAGTATGTATTGTAACTAGCTGGGCTGCACATGCACATTGTACTCCTCTTGTTGTCTCCTGCAGTAGCGGTCATTACACTGGGGGTTGGCTTTCATGGCCATGGTGGGGAAGAAGTCTTGCATGGCATTGTATCCAAGATAATAACTCACAGTGCCAAACTTCAGTAGGTATCTGGAAGACAGAACATTTAATCAGCTATTTTTAGCTTGACATACATACTGTGTCCATAAATAATTCTAACTTACTTGAGGACATTTTGTACCAGGAGGCCGGCAACAACACCCATTGTTGTTGGTAAGCTGGCAGCACATACCCCTTCCCTTTTAAGGGTCTTCTCATCAATGTTAGCTGCCACCACCAGTGGAGGAGCACACTAACAAACAAGATAAGTAGCTACTGTAATTAGTTTTTCCTCACAGGACAAAAATGCTAGCCACGCATCTTTTCAGTGCAGAAAGGTACAGTGTTAAAGGTAAACCAAAGATGTTTGTGTGTAGACATACAGCAAAGCAGGCTGTCTCTCCAGGAATGATGAGCTGGATGTGGCCTGATACAGCATTTTCACTAACGCCAGACTCCATCCAGATCTGACCGAGTTCATTACAGGCCTGAGACAAACTTTACAAAATGAGTAAAGTCTACAAAAGTAACACATACTCACAGCTCTATTTTTTGTGACAGTTATGTACTTACGGTATTGATGGCCATCCTGGCCTCAAAGTTATCCACACAGCTCAGGACCAAATCCACCGGATTCCCATCTTCCAGCCCTCCATGACTGAAAAGACACAGAATAGAATACTATTAACTTTATTTATATAGCACTTTTCTAAACAGTTACAAAGTAATTTACATAGTTTGACACAGGAGTACAACATGAATTAGGCACGTAGGTTAGACATGTTCAAATGTAACAAGATATATTACTCTAGATAAAAACTATAAACAGCAGTGACAATACAGGTTTCGGATTCCCATGCAAAGAGCTGAGAGGTCCTGATTGCAATAACTTGGTCTTTTTAGTCTTGAGCCTGGATGTTGGAACAGCCAGTAGAGTCCTGTCTTGGGATTTGAGGCTGTGTCCTGGCTTGTAGCCAGGCCGAGTGTTTAAGGTAATCGGTAAAATCTTAAACTATATTCTAGAGTTGACTTATTACCAGTGAAGGAAAGAATAAATAATAGTCTGATATAAAAGCCTGCACAACTGTGAGGACAGGGGAGGAAAACTAAAAAGTGGAAAGCAGGAATTCCCACCTGATGCGATCCATGAAATGTGTGAAGTTTTCCATTGTGGTGATATTATAGTTGTGGGTCTCGAACAACACATCTGGATTGATGTTTCTGGTGAGAAAATTGAGTACAGTGAAACAAAGTAGTAGTATAGTGAAACAAAAAAGAGCCCAAAGATCTCTGTTTTGTAGGAAAAGTGGTTAAGTGTCAACAACGGAGTACCTAAGTGTGTGTTCTGCTGCCTCCACTTTACTAAGGCCTGCCTGGTGAGGCTGGAAGAACAGTCTGTTCATATTGGCCAGCTCCACTTTGTCATAGTCAAATAGAAGTAACTGTAATGGCACAAGAAGACAGAGCATGGATAAGCACACAAGCAGACAAACTGGTGAATGAAATGCGTAAAAATAAGGGTAAGGTGGATAAAATAATTCAATGTTTGTATTACCTTACCGATGCCACATCTAGTGAGCATTTCAGCTGTCACACTACCCACCCCCCCAACACCAACCACCGCCACTGTATATGTTCGGATTTTCTGTAAAAACATTTGCAGATCATTATTCATTCTAATTACATACTATATCTATTAGTCAAAAGCTATTTTAGAAGAAGAAGCTTTATTTTATTGTCATTGTGAGATTCGAACCCTCAACCTTCCGGTTGGGAGACGACTGCTCTATCCACTGCACCTGGTGCTGACTTTTGAGGATTATTAAAGCACAAAAAAAAAAAAAAAAAAATCACAACCTTCAAGTACCATACCTCATAATCGTCCACGATGCCCATTCTCTTTAGAGCCATTAGACGACTGCAGTGAAAAAGCAGAGATTAGCTTGTGGTCTGTAAACTAACGTTACTACCATATGGGATGAATGAGTCATCAGGCGTAGCCCCTCAGCGCTGAGCAATCTAGACAAAATCTGTCAAAACCTAGAATAACAAAATAAAAAAGTCACCTGTATGGGTTGGAGTCCACGACTTCGGCGCTCATTTTGTCAATTTTCGGTCTATGAAGTGCATCCTCCATGGCACACTGCTTCTGCTTACACTTTATCAATTCATTTTCCAACTCTCTCACCCGCAGCTTCAGCTCCTCTACTGTCGCCATTAGAAGAATAAAACTCACCAAATACGATGAAAGAAATATATTTCTGTAAATACAAAGTCACATATAATCGCTAAATGTCTTATTCAACACGGAGAGTACACGTCCACACAACTCAAATCAGCTGTTAACTTGTGCGTTCCCACAAACAATGTCCGTGCAGAAAATGAAGACAAATACCTTCATGAGTTCCGACGGTCTTTCCACTATATGGACTGGCTGTTGAATTATATTTGACTATTGGGTTTTGAAACCATGATGAATTTATGTAAGGTATTACCTAAAATAAAAATAAAAAAGCAGGGCGTTACCTCGGTGTGTGCATTTGTAAATGGCCCGCCTCCTATCAAATTTAGCCATATAGTAGAGGTAAATAGCAGCAGCTGTGGTCCATAGTCCAGAAGGTGGCGGTAATGCGCCGGAAATTATTTGCCAACCACCATTAAAATAACAGAGGAAGAAGAAGTTTTTTTTGTTTGTTTTTTGTCGTCCGCCGTCTGTCATTGTAAGATTGTGACAGGTACAACGAAATTTTGTTTGCAGCCGAGGGTTTAATCCAGTGTAGTTGAGACATGGAAGAGCTAACAATTCCTGTACTAGAGCAACACAAATTCAATATTAGCAGACTTAAAAGATATATGTCTGCGAAGTCACTGCTGTCAAATAACGACGCGCTCAGTGTGAGACAGTACAGGTAAGATAGACCTCAACGCGGTTTAAACGAGAGAGCAGTAGAAAGCTAATATTGTGCAAATTATGATCAGCTAACAAGCTAAGGCCTTACTGTGGTCTTTTCAGTGCTGGTCAGTCAAACCCAACCTTCCTGGTCCAGACACCCTCAAACAGCTATGTTCTCAGAAAGAAACCTCCTGGTGAGCTCTTGCCAGGGGCTCACAAGGTAATGTTTGACAAATTAAATACTTTGGTTAATAAAAGTTTAGTGCATGAATAAACGTTTCATTTGATTTGGTAAACTTGGCTGTTTACTGTCATGTTAAAGAGACTGTCAAACATGCATTTTGCATTTTTGTGAGGTCCGCGAATAAAGGAAATACATAAATGTGTCAAGGCACATTCATTCACTTATTGCTTGTACCTTCACACTAAAGTGCAATATGTAAATAATTAAATATGCCACTGATCCCATAAGGTTTCCATAAACAGTTTTTGGTAATTTCCTGTAAGAACCTATGCAATTTGGTAGTTATTGTAGGGAAGATAAAGACAAAGTTGTGATGCTGTTTAGTCAGTTGTGTTGTGTTGATATGCTGTTGCTGATGATCAAAGATATGTCTCCAGAAGAACCAAAAAATCTCAAAATATGCAGACATTCACTTAAACCTATGTTTTTATATTGTACTGATACATTAGTTGAAACTTTTTCCTACTTAAATGTTGAAGACTTTGGCTTAAGATAGCAATTTATTCAAATTACTGTCTCTATTTAATCTATAGTTACTAAAAATTTTGCCCTTTCCAGGAATCTTCCTATAAATGTACTGTTACGTAACTCTTGCTGTCTCAGAAATTATATTAGGAATCAATGGGAACCATAAGGAAATTGCTATATCTTGAGGTTTGCACAATGGGTGATACTTTAACACAGTAAGGTTGCTCATTATGACTTTTTTTTTTTTTTTTTTTAAGGTGGGCAGGGAGTTTTGGGTCCAGCAGGCATTGTTCTCTGCTGGTTTCCCCGTGCCTCAGCCTCTCTTGCACAACACTGACATTGAAGTTGTTGGCACAGAGTTCTACTTGATGCAGCATGTAAAGGTAAGTCTGTACCACCAAGCCATAATCCCACTATCTATCCATAATCTTTTTTTATCTGCTGCTGTTTCGCTTGACCTTTGTTCTTTGCTGGTTTGTTGACACACTTTAGCTTGACATAATGTACACCTTGAAATACTGTATGTACTTGAGTATTATATAATGGTCAACTATTTTTTCATGAACACTCGGACATTTAAAGACCCTGTTTACTCATCTTTATTTCACAGGGGCGCATATTCAGAGATCTTCATCTTCCTGGCGTGAGTCCAGCAGAGAGATCAGCTCTATATGTGGCTGCAGTGGAAGTGTTGGCAAAGCTACACTCACTGGATCTGGCGTCACTGAATCTTGAAGGATATGGGAAAGGACCAGGCTACTGCAAGAGACAGGTGCGATAACACATTGTACTCAGTAAATCAAATAATTATATATATCAAATGTGGAACAGTTAGTTAAGTTTGTAACATTAAGAAGTGTCTTTTCATTTTTAAAGGTTACCACCTGGACAAAGCAGTATAACGCAGCAGCCCACAGAGATATTCCAGTCATGAATGAACTGTCTGATTGGTTGATGAAGAATTTGCCAGCCAATGATAATGAAGTTACGCTTGTCCATGGAGATTTTCGACTAGACAACTTGATATTCCATCCAGCTGAGGTACAATTTCTCTCAAAGCAGTTCTTTAGCTTGTTTACTTTATTTATTGATAGTTAATAGGGTTTATGTGATTGGATGGGTGAGGCACTGTTAGGATGGCTTTTAAATTTCATTGTACATGTTGCAATGACAAATAAAGGTTGTTTTTTAACGTTTTTAACTTACTGCTTTGCTGAATTTGGTGGTAAATACTTCGCAAAATGTGTGTGATGTTATCAGGCACGTGTCATAGCAGTGTTGGACTGGGAGCTTTCCACCACTGGGCAGCCCTTGGCAGACCTGGCCTACTTCCTTATGCCTCACTACTGGCCCACAACCCTCAGCATTACCAGTGCAATGGGCAGCTTAAAAGGAATAGAAGGTCATTTCATCAGTTTATATAAGACTTGAACATGATTAGTGTGTATGAACACACTGTTTTCTAACATCTTTGTGTGGTAGGTTTATGTGTGCAGACTCTCTCTATACTTGTCTCAGTCTATAATGTATCCTTGTCCATCAATGAGCAGGTATCCCACCTGTGGATGATCTGATCTCCATTTACTGTAGATGTCGGGGGATCCCATCTGCTTTGCCCCAGCTGAATTTCTACTTGGGCCTTTCTTTCTTTAAAATGGCCGGAATTGCTCAGGTTTGTCCATGTTGATATATGTAATTCAGCTTCAGTCCTGTCCCTGTTTGTCCTTTTGAGATTGTAGTATTATTTTTCAGACTACAGAGAGACCCTGATGGATTTCTTACTCTTTCATTCACGCTTTTCATCCACAACAACAGGGAATCTATGCTCGCCACCTACTGGGTAATGCCAGTGCACCCAATGCAGCTCAGTTCAGCCAGTGTGTGGAGCCCTTGGCTAAGGTTGCCTTGCATCTTGCACAAAGGTTGGTTGCAGTTAAAAATCTGATTAATGCACGGATATCAGGATTAATATAATCAGCACTAAGACAGCCTAAATATGCTAATAATTAGAATATTATATAAATTCACTGTTGTTGTAGACAAGGGGAAAAAAAGATGGATTCCACTTGCTGACTAAACTTGAGCCAACATCAGTTGGAATATGCCATTCAGCCACTTTCCAGCATTCATTGCTGATGTTTTAACATGTGAAATGCGTTTTTTGTTTGTTTTGTTTTGCCAGTTCTCTCACAGGTCCAAAGGAAGACACACTGTTCCTCCAGACAGCTAAAGGTCAGGCTGTTCTCCAGGAGGTCAAAGGCTTTATGCAACAATACATACTTCCTGCTCAGGAGGTCAGTGCCAAGAGCTGCCAAAACAGAGGAGGGATTTGTTTGCTCACTTGAAGCTTGGCCATGAAATGAATTGACAGTAATTCATTCATGCAAGAAGGACAGATTTATTCAGGCAAGAAAATAATGAGTCTTTTGACTGCATCAATTATATTGCATGTAAAACTGTAATCACTGGCTGGGCTTCATACTGTGGTCTTCTTAGAACACCACTGCAGATACCATTTGGTTTTATTTGTGGAAGAAATGGACAGAGTGGAATAGAGGAAAAAACCACAGAGAAAGTATTTCTGTAGAAGTATTTCTACATTTTTCTTATTTAATGGTAGATATTCCTACTAGGGATGGGCAATGATTTTTGAGTATTTGAGTAGTCATTAAATAAAAACAATTAAAATTAAATATATTTTAAAGAATCAACAGTGGTTTTGTGTTTCTAAACAAAGAGCCACTGTTTTCCCTTGCTTTTACCAGTGCCAGGAAATAACACAATAACGAGGTTAATATAACATTTCACAGCGGCACCAAATACAAACAGCAGAAACATGTAGAGACTACAGCCATCACGGCACAGCTGGATAAGCTGTATGATAATCTTTGGATACTGATGACTAGTTCCTAGAGAATATCAAATAGCATTTTAGCTTGAAACGACCATCCGTAGTTCCTACTGGTCAAAGGTGTGCAGTAATGAGAGTAGACCCATCCCACCAATCTGCTGATAATTACATTTTGTTGTTCTCCAGGAAGTTGCTGAGTACTACTCCAGACATGCTCAATCTCCACAAAGGTGGCACACCCCACAAATAATAGAGGAGCTAAAGGTATGAAAGGATATTGTTGTCTTTAGTTATTTCTTTGTATTTAACTTGGTAATCTGCAGCTTTTTCCCACAGGGATGTAACATAAGCAAACACCAAAATACGGCAAAGAATAATAGAATGATGGCAATGCAAAAGGGCAAAATTTATTTAAACATAGTTTTGGCAGTTTACCCCTCTATGAGTCAGCCACACATTACAATTAAAGGCTCTATTCTATTATAAAGCCCCGTCCGGTTCTTTCAAACCAGAAACTCAGAGGGACGACTCAGACCACTTGGATATATAAAAAAATATAACCGTGCTGGTTTATTCAAAGAGTCACAGGCAAGAATTAACATTACATTTCCAGAGATCTTCCAACCCCCAGGCTGCCCAAGCAGCCCGGAAGCAGAAAAAAAACCCAGAACCCAGAATTGCTATACAATATCATCACTTAGTTGGCTCGCCCCCTCCTCCACCGAAACGTCAACTGAGACGTCTCTCAGCTTTGCAGCTGGCTATAACGTTAGCCAAAACATGAGGAAAAGTCAAGGTGTGTGGCTGTTGTTTTCGTGGTGTGTATCTAAAACAATTGGACATAACCTTACACATTAAGACAAATATTAAGACTAGCATTACAGTTGACACTAACAGCTCTTTGCCTGTAACCTTGACCTGCCTGCAGTCTGCACTGCAAGTACATTACTGAACTGTTAACAGCCTGAGCTAGTCAATCTGTCTCCACTAACATTTCTAATACAACAGATCTCTAATCAATATCTATCTAAGAAATTACCTAACACAATCCATCAACTGTTTAAATTGAACCAAAGACTGTTTTTGTGAATGTGCTTATCCACTTCTTTAGCTCCACTTGCCATTATTACCAATGTCTGATTTGACAGAAGAATTCAATTTCAGCATCCAGATACAGTCTAAATAATGTGTATCTGTGTGCCCAGGTGAAAGCCAGGGAGGCAGGGCTGTGGAACCTGTTCCTGCCTGCGGTCAGTGGTCTCACTCAGTTGGACTATGCCTATATTGCAGAGGAAACTGGTCGCTGCTTTTATGCCCCTGAAGTCTTCAACTGCCAGGCTCCTGGTAAAACATCCTGTCTGACTCTTGAGATAATTTAGACGGCATAGAGAATATTATGGGTCCATTGTGTCAGTCATATGGCAGTTCTTACAACATAACCTGGCTTCTCATTATACAACATAGATTATATTTATATTTATAAAATCTTGTGTAGTCCGTGTGTAAAATTCTCTCCATATGTCAACTTTTCAGCTTTGCTGTCATCACAACAACCATGCATTTTATTACTGATCTACATTAAGTGAATAAACAATCTCTAAAATTGTCTCTATGCATTTGTCAGATGAGTTAAAGTCCTGGAGAGCATATTATTTTACAGATACAGCTCATTATTTATTAGAAGACTTAATTATGGTTCTCCACAGATACAGGAAATATGGAGGTGCTTCACATGTTTGGCAGCGAGGAACAGAAGAGGAAATGGCTGGAGCCTCTACTTAGAGGAGAGATACGTTCCTGCTTCTGCATGACAGGTATTTCCATGGCTTCCTATGTCATTTAAGGTGATGTGCTTCATGTCACTGGTCACTGTGTTTTATGAAAGACTACAAAGAAAACATACAGTGCCTTGCGAAAGTATTCGGCCCCCTTGAACTTTGCGACCTTTTGCCACATTTCAGGCTTCAAACATAAAGATATAAAACTGTAATTTTTTGTGAAGAATCAACAACAAGTGGGACACAATCATGAAGTGGAACGAAATTTATTGGATATTTCAAACTTTTCTAACAAATAAAAAACTGAAAAATTGGCCGTGCAAAATTATTCAGCCCCCTTAAGTTAATACTTTGTAGCGCCACCTTTTGCTGCGATTACAGCTGTAAGTCACTTGGGGTATGTCTCTATCAGTTTTGCACATCAAGAGACTGAAATTTTTGCCCATTCCGCCTTGCAAAACAGCTCGAGCTCAGTGAGGTTGGATAGAGAGCGTTTGTGAACAGCAGTTTTCAGTTCTTCCCACAGATTCTCGATTGGATTCAGGTCTGGACTTTGACTTGGCCATTCTAACACCTGGATATGTTTATTTGTGAACCATTCCAATGTAGATTTTGCTTTATGTTTTGGATCATTGTCTTGTTGGAAGACAAATCTCCATCCCAGTCTCAGGTCTTTTGCAGACACCATCAGGTTTCCTTCCAGAATGGTCCTGTATTTGGCTCCATCCATCTTCCCATCAATTTTAACCATCTTCCCTGTCCCTGCTGAAGAAAAGCAGGCCCAAACCAGGATGCTGCCACCACCATGTTTGACAGTGGGGATGGTGTGTTCAGGGTGATGAGCTGTGTTGCTTTTACGCCAAACATAACATTTTGCATTGTTGCCAAAAAGTTCGATTTTGGTTTCATCTGACCAGAGCACCTTCTTCCACATGTTTGGTGCGGGACAGGGAAGATGGTTCAAATTGATGGGAAGATGGATGGAGCCAAATACAGGACCATTCTGGAAGGAAACCTGATGGAGTCTGCAAAAGACCTGAGACTGGGACGGAGATTTGTCTTCCAACAAGACAATGATCCAAAACATAAAGCAAAATCTACAATGGAATGGTTCACAAATAAACATATCCAGGTGTTAGAATGGCCAAGTCAAAGTCCAGACCTGAATCCAATCGAGAATCTGTGGAAAGAACTGAAAACTGCTGTTCACAAACGCTCTCTATCCAACCTCACTGAGCTCGAGCTGTTTTGCAAGGAGGAATGGGCAAAAATTTCCGTCTCTCGATGTGCAAAACTGATAGAGACATACCCCAAGTGACTTACAGCTGTAATCGCAGCAAAAGGTGGCGCTACAAAGTATTAACTTAAGGGGGCTGAATAATTTTGCATGCCCAATTTTTCAGTTTTTTATTTGTTAAAAAAGTTTGACATATCCAATAAATTTCGTTCCACTTCATGATTGTGTCCCACTTGTTGTTGATTCTTCACAAAAAATTACAGTTTTATATCTTTATGTTTGAAGCCTGAAATGTGGCAAAAGGTCGCAAAGTTCAAGGGGGCCGAATACTTTCGCAAGGCACTGTATCATACTCCTTAGAGTCAGTAGAGATATGACTGAAGGCCAAATGTGACTTGGGGAGTGAAATAATTTACTGTGTTTAAACTTGAGTGATCAACCAGTGTACTGCTAAATTTCAGTCCTCAAAATATTTGTGATGGTTTTCTGTCAGACTTTCCAGTCATGGTTGAAATTGGAAATGAGCAAGGTTACACACAGTATCACGGAGACCGACATCTGCAAAAAGCTTGCTTGAAAATTCTTCCTGCCAGCTGCAAACACTCTTTGAGTATGAGCAATACTTCCCTGTTTTTCTTCAGTTTGGCTTTCAAATTGCCTGGAAACAGAGACACGCTTTAGCCAGTGGTGATTACAGTGGGTGTGAACCCTCTCCATGGTCCTCATAAATACAGATAGTGAATAGTCGTGTGTTAGAGATGTTTTTTTTTAATGTTTGGGTGATTTATTACAGTAAGAAATTCCATCTTGTGCAGTTTCTAATTATAACTTTGTTAAGACTCACCTGCTGTATAGTTAAAGTCGGAAAATGGGATGAGTGTTCTATTTACGTTACATTAAGTACTCTCCCTCTGGTTTAAGATGAAATCTAGAATTCTGTAAAAGGTAGAATGCAAAAGCATGGGGCTGGAGTTGTGAAGCTTGTTATAGCCCGAGTCTCATTGCTTAGCATATTTTTATTTGGTGTAAAATGTGTATATTTTTGAGGATTTTGGCTGACTCATGGTTGCTCCACAGAGCCCGATGTGGCCTCTAGTGATGCAACCAACATGGAGTGCACTCTTCATAGGGATGGAGACAACTACATCATAAATGGCAAGAAATGGTGGAGCAGTGGTAAGTCCATTTAAATTTTTGTCACTCATACAAGGGTAAGAAAAACAAATGTATTATCCCACCACAAGAACAAGAGTTTTCAGGTCCATTTAAGACTGAAAAAGGCAGTAGAGCTTAAAACTTGAACAGCAAGGAGTCGTTTTATATCTGCCTTGCTCAACTTGCTTTAACGTATTGTGTGAGAAGTCGCCTTAGCCAAGCAAAGTTTTTGAGTTTGTTGTGTGTAACAGAGATTATTCAAACGCCTGACACATGGACGGCAAAGCCATGCAGATGATTCATACAATAAACATTCTTTTAATATAATTGCTTTTTCAGAAACATGGTTTAATAATGTAAGAGGAATCGACCTTGACTTGGATGGTTATGACTTGGTCTGCACAAATAGAGAGAATAAGATGGGAGGCGGAGTGGCCTTGTACATAGATAACAACCTTTGTTATAAAAAACTGGAAAATATGTCAAGAGCGATTGACAACCTGCTGGAGTGTGTGACGGTTGAATTACTACTGGAATCAC